TATTCCTGAAAATATTTGTTAATTTTTTTGGCAATTTGAAATTTTTTTAATTTATTTCTAGATTCATAAATTCACACAGGTCATTTAATCGATTATAAATCCGGCACCAATCTATTGTGATTCTTGAATTGTCCTGGACTCAAACCGATCATGCCAGAGTTACTTTAAGTTTAGTGCCGGATTTCTAATCGATTAACCGACTTGGACTAGTCGGGATAGTTTTTAGAAATTTAAAATGTTTAATGGATTTTAAAAAGAACATGACAAGACAAATCTTTGATTTTACTTAGAATTATTTAAACAAAAATTTTAAAAATCTCTCAGAAATTTCTTCAATTAATTTATTTTAATTTTTTATGTTTTAATTTTAGAAATTGCATCAACAAAATTCAAAACCAATTATTTCATGCGAAACACACGGTGTGAGTATGAAAAATGATTAAACATATAACAGAAAAAAATGTTATCAATGTTATACATGTTATATCTAGGATGTTATGTTTCAAAATTTAAAGCATTTTTATGATCTTTTTTTATTTCGGAACTAGACCGTCGCATTACTGAACTAATTTTTAACTATTTTTTTAATCTTCTGACCTCAATAAGCAAGTATAGTCAATTTAAAAATTGAATTAAAACTTTTCAATTCAAATAAAATTCATCCGTTATTTTTAACTTCAGAAAAAAAATATTTGTTTTAATAGCTAATATTAAACAGTAAAATTATTAAAAAAATTCTATTCTTTTTAATAAAAATATATTTTTAAACATTCAACATTAGAAAATTAGACGTTTCAACTCCATCAGCATATTCAAAAATCGCATACGAGAATACTTTTTTGATATATATTTTAATGCAAATTCTATAAATAATTAAAATACTTTAAATATATTATTAATATTCATAATGCAATTGAAAAATGAACTAATGAAATAAAATGAAATAATAAAAAAAAGTCAAGACTAATGTCGTTCGCAAATTCAGAAAGATTTAAGCGTTTAAGATTTTTTGATTGATTTTCGAGTTTCCTTTTTAACGCTACACTTTTATTTTGTTCTAAATAATACTTTTTTAAATCTAAAATTTTATTAATTTTTTTGATAATAAATATTTTTCACTTTTTTTCTTTCTATTTCTAGATAAAATTGTAAATCATTTGAAAATGTTGAAACTTTAATCGAAAAGAAGTCTGAGAAATTGAAATTGTGTAATTTGTAAAACGATAAAACAAAAGCAACTGTTAAGATGTGCTCAATATAACTGTCAAAAGTGATAACAAATAAGCAAAGTCTGTGACATAGAAAAATACGATTGTTAAAGTTTTGTGATAAGTAAAAGTTCCCAAGGAAACAGATTCTAATTATTACTCGAAATCAACGATTGAAGTTTCAATCTACACTCTCAATTATAGTGGAATTAACATGTGAGTCAATTTAAAATTTTTAAAATGATTTCAATTCGTTCAATTATATTACATTTAGTTTATGCTGACAATGTATTATTCATCCTTAAATTATATTCACAAATTTGAATCTGCTTTGAGAATTATTAATTTTTCAATTAATTTAAATCAGAATTTGTTATTTTACGAGACTTTTAAAAATTTCAGTTAACACGGAATTGCAGGACTTACCTTCAAAATCTCTAACTCAGTCATTTTGACATTGCAATGTAAAAATCGTTGGATTGATCGAGTTTATAATTTTTGCATTAAATCTACAAAAAAGGTTTTCATTTTTAATATTTAATATTTCTTATAATGGTCATTCAGCTACGGCGTTGCCAAAAAGTTGAAGCCGTGGGAGGGGATTCTAGGAAATATTTTTTAAAGATTTGTCCTCCAATTCTTCACTTGCATCGCATGACATTCAGGCATTTCAAGTAAAGTCTAAATTTATGAAATTTGTATGAACCACACCCACTTCCCCTAGTCGATAATTTTACTATTTAAAAATATTCCAGGATGGACACAGCTAGTTAAAAATCTAGACATTAACTAGACATATGTGCAATACCTATGGTCAGTTAAATAGAACGTGCAAAATATGTCATTAGTCGTCTCTAACTCTAGTTGCAAAGGCAAGTCAATGGCAAGCTTTTAACTAGTTCTTTGTTCACTCCGAATTTTTGCCTTATTACTCAGAATAACTCAATGAAAAGTTTCTTCCAATTTCGCTGTATTAAATAATGAAAAAAAAAATTAATTTAAAGCTACTTTACCCGCAATATTTTGAACCAAAACGTAATCAATGTTTGCACAAAAAAGACTCAATCATGACTGTTAGAGTCACAAATAATAATCTTAGAAAAAATAAATTGTTATAACAAAATTGGGGGCGTTCCCGAATAGCTCAGTAATATAATCGGTCCGCTGTTATTTGATGGAAAAATCAGGCATTGACATTTTTTTAAAGCAGTTTAAAATTTACTTTTTATCTGTCAAATTTTTTAAATTCATTCTAAAAAATATTACAAAATTTTAAACAGACCCGTTGTCAAATGCCAATATGAGGACAGAAGTAAGTTTTTTTTTTAGCTTTGGATTCGTTATCAGAAACTCAAAGGATCTTTCACCAAGGCGTGAAAACTCAGGATTAATCCTGAAAAATCCTGAAAATCCTTAAAAAAATCCCTGAGCCAATAAACGTCGAAATGTAAAATCCCTACTGCATTTGATGAATAATTTCGGGATTTAAAAGGGATTTTACATTCTCAAGTTTATTAGTTCAGGGATTTTTTAAGGATTTTTGGGATTTTACAGGATTAATCTTGAGTTTCCACACCTTAATTTTTATTATCAGAAAGATTCTAAAAGTCACCAAAAATCCTCTAATTTGTGGTTAAGTCTATAAATGGAACATGACAGAACCTCAAGATATAGGTTAGCCATTGCTGGTTGAGAGGATCAAAAGAATTCATAATTTAATTTTATATCTATAACATAAAAGTTGATATTTTATTGCCCTAGCATAAATAAGATATCAATAAATATTTATTACGTTATAGCTTAATAAAAAGAAATAAAATAAAAAAAATCTATATTTATGATCAAATGCGCCTTTATATTACTTTTGGGGTAGATATGCGAACGTTAACGAGTTCTATGAATTCTTTAGGGTTCATTTAGTAGTGTTGTATATGTTTTATGATGGAAAGCAGTCAATCACTGTTTGACATTTCAAACTAAAGTAATTATTTTTTCAATTCAAATTAAAGTAAAAAAATTCCAACAGAATGAGGAGGTCAAAGATCAAAGTTTTGTGATTGACATCTATTTAAAAATAGGTTGATCTGTTTGGTTTTTCAGAACACAGTCCAAAATTTTTTTAATTTTTTAAAATAAAATAGTTTTTTAGTTCTAATCCGTCCAGAAAATGAATAAAAGTGGTAATCACTTGGGATGTCTTCTGGTTTACTTTCAAGTAATCTATTTTTTAAAAAAACATCAGGTCATCCTATTTATAAATGAAGTTCAAATTACATAAAAAGTATTATAACTTGATTATAACCAAGCTTTTCCACTAAGTCGGATAACATTTGTTACTAGTATGATATCATTTGATAAATTACGAGCAGCATTCAAAATCCTGGTGAAAGAAGTTTTGTATTTAGATCATTTGGGTTTATTTGGAGATAACAACAAACAAAATTGAAAATTTGGTGTGAATATGAAAAAGATCGCTTTTGAATTCCGACATTTTTAATGCGATTTCAAAAAATTCGTCATGCTTTGTTGGCTGATTTCAGCGTATTACTGTCGCATGAATCAGTATTTGATTGACAAGTAAGAGCGATTCAATTAGCACAAAAAAGTTTCTTAGTATGCTTAAATCAGTTGTTATGTGTGACACATTTTTAGGAAATTGCGATGAAATGATAAATTTTTTTAAAATTTTTAACTTCCACGCAACAAGCTTGTAAGTTATTAGTTTTGGTCAGAACACACTTTTTTTTGAAGGACTCATTTTCAAAAATCTCAAAGGGTATCAAAATGTGTGTATTAGAAGGCTGGATTTTTGTATATAAACTTTTACAATTGGACATCATCTTTGCCTTCAAAACGTCAAAAAACGTTTCCGTTCCGCACAGCTCGTCCACTCCCCTTTCTAAAGTTAATACTCCCATCAAAAGTATCATTTTACAGACATTGAAAGCATCTGTTTATTATAGTAATATTCTCCAAAATTATCATTTTTCGATCTCTATTTACACTTTATATGAGAAGTTTGGCAACTTAACAATTATTTTCAAAGATAAGATTAAATTTTTTCATGGTTTTTTCATTGCTTAACAATGACTAATATAAAATTTCTAAAAGAATAAAACAAATCTACAAATAAATTAAATACTTTATTAAATTTTCATCGGCCTGTTTCACTAAAGTGGATTATCCTCGATTTCGGATTATCCACTTCAGTTTTTTGGAAATATTTCTAGACGCTTAAGGTTATTAAGAGATCTAATATGTGATATAATTAGAGTACTTTGCCACTTAAATTAACATATACTTAGAATTTTTATATCTTCATTAGTTTGAAAATTATAGCAAAAATCTAAGTTAATCTACTAGATTTGGCTAGAAAATTGAATAATTAATACTTCTTAAGGGTAATTCCATGAGAAATTTTTGTAAAAAATTTACTTAAAATTGATTTTTTTCATATTTAGGCGTTACAAAAGTTAATAAGATTTTCACAGTGCATGTTAAAAGTCATATGGTATATGATTTGACATTAATTTTCTATCTAAAGTGGTTAATTCGTCCAAAAAATTGATTCCATGAGCGTTACTTGGTAACGCTATAAATGTTACCAAGTAACGCTATAAAATATAATTTTTTGGACGAATTAAGCACTTTAGATAGAAAATTAATGTCAAATCATATACCATATGACTTTTTACATGTCCTGTGGAAATCTTATTAACTTTTGTAAAGCCTAAGGATGAAAAAAATCAATTTAAAGAAAATTTTATAGCAAAATTATAGCATGGAATTACCCTTAAGGAAAAGCAAAAGTTTAAAGTATACAGAAATTTCAGGCATACTTCACTCTATTAAAATCCAAAATTAGAAATGCCACATCTCCTATAAAGTTTAAGATATTTACAAAAATCTGAAGTGGATAATCTATATCGAGGATAATCCACTTTAGTGAAACAGGCCGCATGAGATTAAATTGTTAATAATCTTTATTCATATCACTTAAATTTAATACAGGATTAATTCATTTCCTTTAATTATTTTTTCAAATTAATGTTAAAATAAGCGTAATGTCTAGTTAATATCTAGACAGGGGCGTAGCCAGGGGGGGCCATAGGGGGCCCGGGCCCCCCCTACGAAAATCTGATAATTGTTTTATTAAGTATTTATAGAGAAGAACCAGTTAATGTAGAGGAAGTGATGAAAGAAATGTCAAAATCAGCACGAAAAATTAAATTTAATGTATGAATAATGATTAAATATTTAAACTTATGAAGAATGAATATAGATTTAAGGATGCAAAATAACGGTTTTTTAATTTTCGAAAATGGGCCCCCCCCCTTAAAAATTTTCTGGCTACGCCCCTGTATCTAGAGATGCAGAGAGGAGTCAAAAAATATTTAAAATCAGGCAAAACTGGCCATGCTGTGATAAATTTCCGTCGTCCACTTTTTTCCACCAAATTAATTTCACACTTTAAAAAATTTAAAAGCACCGTCTTTAAGTTCTAGATATATTTTGGACCTGTATGCTTTTTTTTATCAAAAGACTTAAAACTAGGTTAATTGCAAGGTTTATGGGGTTTTCAAAAACATTCCCATATCTTTGAAATGTGCATTGTGTGCATGTAATTCGTATACTTCTGTTAACTGTGGATTTAAAATGTGTAAAACAATAGCTTTTAAAGGATTTCAGTTTCAATACCTTTTAATAAAGTGAAACGCAATAAGCAACTACAAACAAAGGTACATATTCCGGCATTTAAGTCTGTCGCCAGAGGTGCATTTAGCGGTATCAGGGGACACCACTTGAAGGTATACACATGATTTTTGGCTAGCAATGCATTAAGCTAACCTAATCCCCCAAAAAGTCATTGAAATTGTAAATTTTTACGTAAGACTTTGTAATTTTGCATAATTTGGAACGGAATGACAGACATTGAGTAAGAGTTATAATTTTTAAGCATTTCAGGAACCATTAGTCTAGTTACTAGTGGCTATATTAGAAGATATTCCAATAATTTCTATATTATTATCAAAAATAACTTTTGCATCTTCAACAAACTGTTCAGCAACACTCAATTTTTGTAAGAATGGAGCTTTAGCTTTTATTATGTTTAGACGTTCTTTACCTCTCGGTGCTATCGAAGATAAATAAAGTTCCTTCAAGTTTGTCATGAATGGCAGTGACTCTTCAAGCATAACATTAATATTACGATCTTGTGTCGTCAATGACAAAATTTCAATGTTGATCAAATTTTTCAAAAGTCCTAAGAATACACAAAAAAGACCTCGATACTTGCTGTTGTCAATAACTTCGAATTTCTTAAGTTGACGAAATATTTTATTACTTAAGTTGATTGCTTTTTCAATTTCATCACTAGCAATGTCTTTTTCTGATAAGATTAGACAGTACGAGATGATTGCTGTGAATGAAGTTTTTATTATTAGTTTAAAATTGTGGATTAAGGCCTTTTGGATACTTACATGGAAATCGCCTAATCATTTCTATTGCAGCTGTTATTTGAATCTCTGTTGCAGAAAATTCAAGCACATTTTGCTTCTCTCCATTAAGGATCAATGGAATCTTTCCGTAGTAAAATGTCTCGAGGTTCATTTCCTCAAAAATATAATTTACAACTCGACCACCGTCAAAATCATTCGGCAATTGATGAATTGTTAAATCTTTAACATGACCTTTTTGACTTTCGAGGAAACAAACTCGTTTTGTTCTAATGCCTACATACCAATGGAATGTAATCATTGATGTCTCTAACTTGGTTATTTTGTATGGGAATTCATCAGCATCGAAGTAACTTCCAGTTCCTGCACCATTCAAAACTATGTGTTCTAAATTTTTACAGTTATGGCAGATGACATTGAAGATATCATGCGGGAATCCATTCCATGTCCAATCTTCATTGCTTACTTCGATTTTTGTTATGGTTGTCTGATTTTCAAAGGCTCCATAGATGTTGTCATTGCATTTGTTGAATGAAATCAATTTTAATGTTGACAATATAGGAAGTGATTTTTTTCCAATTTGATCAATGCCGCAGTATTCGAACCTTAGTGTTTTTATGCTGCTTAGATTGTTGCAAAGTTGCGAAAACTCTTTAAAATTCTTAAATTTTGCGTTCTTAATATGAAGATTTTCAACTGAATTTTCGAAGTAATTCAAGAATTTCAAGAGCCTCGTGAAATTTGTAAAACCTTTAAAGTCAACTGAAATGTTCCTTAAACGAACGCCTCGAAACGATACAAATGAGGCAAACTTCTCAAAATTATTATAATCCAAAAAAAATGTGAATTTTTTTAAAATTCCATGTGCTGCTTTTAAGATGTTTAAATATCTGTTGAATTAATAATTATGTAAAATAATAATTTAATTTCCATCCTTTTTGATAGCGTTTATAATTGTACTTACGGCACACTGACAAAAAAGAGTACTTCTATAGAAATGTCATTTAAATAATTGCAAATCGATTCTTGTACATCTTCTGGGAGAGAATCTAAATTATGTTCTGTAAAGTAAAAGTTAAAATGAGTTAAAACGTTCGATTAAGATCCTTGTTTCTGCAACAAGTGATATGTTTTGTGTCTTGAAACTGAACGATGTCTCTCGATTGACACATACCCTAACAGACAAAGAGCATGCTCACAATGAGTATGCTCACTTAAATGAACTGACTGAGTTAACTCGTGAGCATACTCAGCTAATATATTTTAGTGAGCATACTCATTGAGAGCATGCTCTTTGTCTGTTAGGGATAGTACTAAAAATGATGAAAAAGAGTGATGAAAGGCTTTGTTTGTGGCCAGATATATTGAATTAAATTGATATTTATTTGAATGGTTCCCTTGTAAGCCCAGGGCCCGATTTCTACGCTACTGATACGGTGCAGTACGGTACGGTAAGGTTTAGGTACACTATACCGTACCAGTGTACTAGCTTTCCGTACCAAGTTGAAAAATCCAGAAAAAACACCGAAGAAAACCCAGGAAAAACTGAAATACCCAAAGAAACTAGAGAAACGCAAGTAAAGTGGGACACTGAAACAGTTAAGATTTACTACTGTACCATCCCGAATGTACCACCCGTGCCGTCCGCCCAAGTCTACATAAAACCATAACATACCGTACCAGTAGTGGAGAAATCGGGCCCTGAAGTCGCTTTATTTACCTATTACACGTCATATGTCGTTAGGATCCACAATACACAAGGATCCCGACAGTAATTCAAATAAAAATACAGACTTAAATGCACTTACTTTGTTTTATTGATGTATCCTCATGCTGATCTGTATGAACGTTTTTATTTTCATTAGGTTCAATTGTTTCAATCCTGAAGTGTTCAAAAATAACTTTTTTTGTCGCACGTTTGCAACATCTAACACTGTCTTCATCTGTACATGATTGATAGTCATCGTCACTAGCGCTTTCACTTGATGATCGATAATTGAGTTCATTGTTAGGGGAAACTTTCCTTTTTGCTTCTCCTTTTTTATTTTGTCTTTGCATATTCACGTCTGTAAAAAAAAACAATACATAAACATTAATGCAGGTTTATCATAGGGACCATTCCCTTATAACGTCCGGGGGGGGGGGGGGGAGGGGGTCTATAAAATATATTTCTTTCTCAATTTTTTTTTCTCAATTGAAAACAAAAAAAAATATCTAAAAGTGATTTGTAGTTTATCAAGGACGTCTTAGTTAAAGAATCGCACGATGACTTGCTAACTTAAAGTATCTTGACTGATTCCAAGTCGTGAAAAAGGCGATTTTCTTTTTGCAAATTTAACTTCACTTCGATATGCTGACTTCAACCTCTGATGATAATTATCTTATCAAAATAATTAGTTTTTTATTATCTTTATCTTTTTATAAAGTCCTTGCTAAGATTTCATAATAAATTATTTTTAGTTTATTTCCTTAATCTTATCTAATCCTTTGATTCAAAAATTGGTCAGATTAAAAACTTTTATTTTGATATATTTGACGATGAAGTTATTGAGATTGACTGTAAACAATAATTCCCATCACTTTAGAAAATTCAATCAAAATCAAATAAGGCAATTTAATACAATAAAGAACGTATAAACTAAAGATAGAGGAAAAAAAGTTTTATAAAACTGCCAATGATATTTTGAATTTTTTAAAACCTTTCAAATTATTTTCTATGTTTTCAAAAATTACTGATTAAGCGAAAAAACCTTAGTTTTTAAATTGGAAGCTCAGTAAAATATGTAATTTAAAAAAATAAAATCCACTAAAAGATCATGAGTTTTAAAAAGAAAATAAGCTTATGAAAATATTTAAAAATTAATATTGTTTTTATCAATAACCGAACGAAAACGAGAAGATAGCAACAAGAAGGTCATATTTATGCGATTTTTTCTTCTTAACACTGCCAGCTCAAATCTCGTTTTAATTTTTTGCAAAAAAAAACGACTAAATTCCAAATAGGAAAAAAATATGAGTAATAATATTCACAACAAATTTTTAAAATAATTTCGTAATCAGTAAAATAAAGAATTGGTTGATAATTTACCTTTATTTGTTAAAATGAACTTTTTTTATCAAAAGATTTTCACTTAATACATGAAAAACAAGAAAGCAACAAAAACTAAAGGGGAATGTTTTACAAGACATAACACAGCTATAATAAAATGAATAACAAGTATAACAATTTGAAATTTTCCGTACGTTACTCTTTTTAGATAAAAACTAGATCTTATAACTTCAGAACCAAAAACCACGTTTTGTGTTGTTTTAAACAAAAAATAAATATAAAATAATAAAAAGTTCAACATTTAAAAATTATTAAAGGTCAATTAAAAGATATTTTAAAATTTGAAAAAAAATTGCACTTGCAAATTAAAAATCAAGGTGTGCTAGATTTGACTTAAATCCAGTTCAATGACCGAGACACGCTTTCTTGGCGTCGATTTTTGATCATTCACATGACTTGTGTTATATCATAAAAATATAAATCACAAAAGAATCTAATTTAATTTATTTGAAATCAAGTTTTTCTTGACTAAACTAAATATTATTAAATTATTTAAGAAAAAGGAATTTTGGATTTTTTAAAACTTAGTTTGGAATTTTTTGTTATTTTTTAAAATATTTGTTTTTAATTTTGTAAGTTTTGAATTGGAATTATGTCTTATTAATAGTATTCATTTAAACTACTGAATTCACACTCACTTATTGATGAACATGTGATTAATTAATGGCCACAAAATTAATAATTTAAAAGATTTAAAATCACTTGTCTTTCGTATCGTTTCGTCAGTTTACGAAACTCAAATAAAATATATTTTTAGATTGTAATTTTTAGGCTTATCATTTTCAAATTGTTATATTTTTTTTGTTGAATTTGTTTTCGCGCGTTTATTTTAAATAAAAACTATGGTGGACGTTGTAGTAGAGATTACAATATTGAAACCATGTTTCTATGTTATGAATATAAATCAATACAGTATTTAAATAAATAAGAAATTTGAACTTAAAGTTTTTAAGCATTTAAAAGTTATTTTTTTAAATACGATTTTAAAATATTAAAATTTAAATTCAATTCTTTCTAGAAAATTTTCTAATAAAAAACAGTTATCAAAATTAACGGAATTTAAAATTTTAAATCAATAAATTGTTACACATGTTATAAGTATTACAAATGTCATGACATAATAATTGTATAAAGGAAATTAAATAAACATGTTGTGTTTAAATCTGATAAAAGATAAAGGTGACATTTTAAAAAAATACCTTCAAATCAATTAACATAAAAAAGTGTAAAAAACAAGTAATTTTCATTAAATTAAATTGTTCATTAAATTAAAACCGAAATCTGCCTAGATAAAAAATAATAATTGTTGCAAAATAGTAAAAAATCATTTGAATCAAACCATTCTGTGATTAAAAGTGAAAATTATTAAACTAAAGTTAATGAACATGTGATAATTAAAAAAAATAAAAGTAAAGTGAATTAGAAATATTTTAAGAGCTTAGCTAAAAATAAATCTGATTAAACTTAAAGATTTTTGACTAACTGATGTCCACAATTTTCATTTTGTATATGTTATGACAAATCGAATTTGATTTGAAAAAAAAAGGAACAACGAAATTCGATGATAATATTTTTTTGACTTTTCAGCTTATTTATAGCATAACATAATCAAAATTAGAAAAGATTTATTTATTTAAATAGGAATTTTTTACACGGAAGTTAAAATGAAATTCTAAAATAATCGAATTGCCATAAAATAAAGCCGGCTTAATAATTATGAGGCTTTGAACTTTAAATCAAATAAATTAATTTTGAAATAATATTTTTTCTCAAAAAGGTTTTTTTGTTGCTCTAGCATTTATATTACTTTTCTTTTGAATTTGACAATAGGTTTCAAATTGACAATTACAACAATTTAAAGTTTATTATTTAAAAACAAAATCAGAAAATTACAAAAATTTTTATTACTTTTTTTTATTCCTTTTTAACCTAGATAAAAAGTCCAGCTTAGTGACTGAATTTCAAATATTCTCTTGTCTTCAACGCTAAATTGTCACCAGTTCAGATTAACAAGGTCAGTTTTAATTTGAGTATTTTGATTTTATTCAATTGAATTAAAATATTTAAATGGACTACTTATTGTGTGGCTGAAGTTAGCCGGCGTGTTACCACCAAATTATTTAAAAACTTTATTATAGTTTCTTGATAATTTCGTACTTGACAAGCTACAGCAGCTTCAACTTTTAGGTTTATTAATCGCTAGTTGTTAAGAATCCTAAATACAAGCTGTAACTGACATTATATATCAAAACACATCTCCTAATTTTGTCATGTTTTGTTTTCAGGCTGTGTTTGTGTCTGTAAGCAATATCGACTCGTGTTCAACATCATCAAATTAGAAAGGTAAGATTTTAATAGTTTACAGTTAAAAATAAAATTAATTTTTATTTTTTATCTATTATTCAGAACATCATTTAAATTTTATACTCTTAAACTAAAATTCCTCTAATATTTTACAAAAAATAGACTGCGGTAAGTGAATTTTATGTTGACTGTAATTTTTTTTTTCAAAATCATTTTTTATTATTTTTAACAGATCAAAATGCATTTTTTTTGTAAGTTTTTTTATAAATTCAAAAAAAACAGGGGTCCACGATTTTAATAAACGTTTTTTATTACAGAAAAATCCAAGGCATGGAAACTATCCAAAATAACCCAATAAAAATCCTTGAGCCTGGATGCATTAAAATTGAGTCCTAAAATTATATGTCTAAGAATCCATTGAGATTTCTTAATCATCGTACATACAGGCACAGGGATTATTTTGGAATTTTTCGAGATATTAGGGCAAATTTCTATGCCTTGAAAAGATTCTGTTTATAAAAAGTTTATTAATTTCGAGGATTCTTAATAAACATTATTTTAACTATTGTCTTTATTTAAAAATCTTTTCAGACAATTTATGTAATGGTTTTAAACAAATTTTGTTATTTGTAATCTACTTTTATAAAGCCGCATGGTTTATAACTTATCGTAAAGAAGGATATAAGGCGTTCATACGTTATAAAGAGCTTCTATCGGAAGAAGAATACAAGTCACAAGAACAAATCATCCAGGGACAATATAACAAGATAATTTATTTTTATGAAGATGGTGGAATTAACATTAGAATTTTTAGTCTTTCTTCTTACATTCAAATCAACTGGTATGTTCTAAAGTTGATTTTTATGGGAAAAGCAGTGTCCTTTAAACCAAAAGACAAAAAGCTGGTCAAAGTGAAAATTCCCGAGCAGAAAACATTTGACAGATTTCGTAATGAATTTGCGGCAACTGTGTCTACCTCATATTGGACAACTGATCATCATGAACCAGCTTTTGTCAATGGTTACTGTGAGTTTATTGTAGCAGTTGATGATATTGGCCTTAGTAAAATTAAAGCTGCAAAGGGAGAATTCGAATGGAAAAATGGATTTATCGTCTTTGAAAATTTTCAGTAAAATCTTTTTAAGTAGTCGGATGCTAAAATATCTAAATTTTAATTTTGATGCTTAAATTTTGATTGATGCCAGGACTTTTACGGCCTGTCTTCCTAAGGTGAATAATCCTCATTTTAGGATTATCTATTTCTTCGATGCGCGGAAAATCTAAATAATTTTTTGTATGATGTAATTCTACATTGGGCTAGTTTAAGAAAAAAAAACTTTTTGTTGTTTAGTGAATGTAGCGAAAAAATAATTTTAGTATATTAAATTATCCTAAAATAATTCTGAAGATTAATCGAATTTAAAATCTTTGTGGGACAAAGTTTTAACATTTTAGATTAATTATGTAATAATCTTTTAATCATGATAATCTTTTTTTGTGAAATCCATCGTCAAAAAATTTATTTTCTTCTCTAATTCACCGTGCAGTTTGACAATGTAAAAAAAAAATTATGGACTAACCTCGGATTGAAAAAGTGGATAATCCACCTTAGTGAAACAGGCCGTTAGTTCTTCACGTTAATCTCAGGGGTTGCTTAACTTTATTGCTACAGAAAATAAATCTCAATTGTCATATTTTATTCTGATATAATAGAACTTGATTAAGACATTTTAAATATTAAGTACTCATAAGTTTAACGAAATTTTTCTTAAAAAAGTTCAATCTCTTAAAATTTCTAAAGCATTAATAATTCTTGGTCTATTAAAAAAAACATAACGGGAAGGACTGGAACTTCCAGGAAAGGTATTATATCCATAACCATAAACGTAAACATAACCATAAATGTAAACATAAACATAAGTGTGTGTGTGTGAAGTTAGCGGGAACAAGTTCTCAGATCGAGTTGAAACTTTTTCAGAATTACGTCCATTTTACGTCCATTTACGTCCCAAATTTAAATATTTTCGTCCTACTTAAACATTTAAACACAATTCCTTATTGTTTTAATTATGTTATTGTTAAGTATTAAATATGACAGCACAGAAAAATTCAAAAACGCTATTAACAGGCCAACAAAAGCTGCATGAGATTACACATCGGCTTGATGTTAGTGTTTTTGATTCTTTAATGTCATGTGCCATTTAGGTTAGATAATTATTTTTTTTGTGAAAATCATAAGTTCCATAAATTGAGATTTTTAAGTTTTATTTGTCAAGAAATTCTCTTAAATTTAATTTTTTTTTTGTATAAAATTGAAGAACAGGTTTTACGAATTTGAGTAGGATTTTAAATTTTGTCCCTTCCCTTTCTTTAACTTTTTTCGTAAGAATACTATTTTTAAAGGGATTTCGACCCATTGGACCCTTTTTTGGATGTCATTGATCCAAAGAACTCCACAAAACCAAAAAGCCTATTTAAGAAGCTTTATCAAAACAACTTATGCCAAATTATAATTTTTTTTTATAAAATATCAAAAATTCTTTTCGTTAAAAATCAATTTACACAAATGGACCCACATTGCGGACAAGGAGGGGGGGAGAGGGGGGTTTGTGTGAGAAAAAGTCAAAAATATTATTTTGATTAAAAAAACTAATATATAATTTAGAAAAAATCCTCCGACGTTTACAAATCATCAATAAAAACATCACCAAAATAAGTTTTTTAAAATATTATTAATTAAATTTTGAATATTTTATGACAATTGAGGTTAAAATAAATCATTTTTTTACGTCTATATGTTTGGCATTGGTTATTTATTCGGTTTCGAGCATAAAGTATTACCTAAAGTGTTCATATTTCGGTTTGATTCAAGTGTCACTATAAGGAAAACGTCAGGATTGGTCCAAACAACCTCGGTTTTGTGAATTAAAGAGACTCTTCTAGTAATAACCTGAATGTGGAAATATTTTTATTTTTTTTTCAATATTTTACATACAAAGTTTCTGGAACATTTGAAAGAATTGAGTTTTACGTAAAACGCTCCAAACCAATGAGATTTCTTTGTTATTATCGCCCTCCTGTCAATGATTCAATAGCTCCATTCTTTGAAGACCTCGAAAATCTGTTACAAAAAGAATCATGCGACTCAATAATCCTCGGTGATATAAACTTGGATGCCAATTGCGATACACCAAATTCAAAGCGTTATGTTTCTACGCTTAATTCATACGACTACAAGATCTCAAATACACACATGACAAGAAATGCAAGCGGCAGAATCATCGACCACGTTGCCACAAACTTTTTCAATCGTTTCAAAGTCGTTAACTCAACTGTCACCAACAATCTAAGTGATCACAATATTATCTGTACATGTCTTGAAAATTTCAAACTAGCAGAGAATAAGCGAGTGATGGAACTAAAGAAAATAGACCATGGGAAATTAAAACGTATCTTCAACAACAAGTGCAAAAGAGAAGCTATACTCAAAGAGAATGATCCAGAAGTCATCGCCAAATCCATAACCGCAGCTTTAACCTACGCAACGAATAAATCTACCACCGTCAGAAAACTCAAAGTGAAAAACAGCCTTTTATGCTCTTGGTTTAACACAAAAATTGCAAAAACAATTGCTGCCAAAGACAAAATCGCCAGGAAATATAGAGCAAATAAATGGAACATCAACTTGAGGCTGAAACTCCACATTTATACCAAAAAAGTCAAATCAGTGATTGAGGAAGAGAAAAGAAAATATATTGAGAAATCTTTTGATCAAGGAGACCCTAAGAAAATGTGGAGGGAAATCAATGAGATGTTAGGACGTAAATCCAAAGAAAAAGTAACGGCAATCTTCAACAGCCAAAAAGATTTGATCTTCGACGAGAAAGAAATTGCTGAGCGTTTTAACAGTCATTTTATTGAAAGCGTGTCATCCCTAAGCAACAGTCTACACTCATGTTTATCCAGCATCACCACACCTTCGGTAGAAAGCACAATTGTCCTAGACGATACAAGCGAAGAGGAAGTACAAGTAACGATAAACTCTCTCAAGAAATCATCTCCCGGAATTGATGGTATTACAGTCGAAATTGTTAAGTTTATGGCGGACGACTTATCACCACTATTATCACATCTGATAAATCTTATGTTTAACACATGCATCTACCCAAAATGCTTTAAAAAAGCCTTAGTCATACCAATAAATAAATCCGGTGATAAGACAAACATTAATGACTATCGACCCATTTCCATCCTCTCGATTCTTAACAAAATTGTAGAGAAAATCTTGCTTCAACGCCTTCAAAGCTTCACACACGACTACCTAAATCTGATCTACTGTAGGCAATATGGTTTCCGGCCCAAATGTAACACAGAAATCGCAGTTGCTGAATTAGTTCAACACATCCAAAACGCAATAGATAATAAAGAGAAAGTCTCCATGGTGTCCATGGATCTAAAGAAGGCCTTTGATGTAATCGACGTCACAAAACTGACTCAAACACTTTTTGATTCCGGCATAAGAGGAAACGCCCTCAAGCTTATTCAAAACTTCCTTACGGAACGGGAACAAGTCGTTAAAGTTGGCGATAATTGCAGCTCTTCAATAAAATTCTCGCGTGGCGTTGTACAAGGATCAATCCTCGGTCCTTGGCTATTTACAATCTTCATCAATTCCATCGCTAAGCTACAATTACGAGGGGAGTTATTCCTCTATGCCGATGATTGCATTCTAATCAACACTCATAAGCACCACGAACAGATCGAGCCCAAAATCTGCAAAGACATGAGAGCTATCATTAATTTCTTCTGTCACAAAAGTTTAATCCTCAACCAATCAAAAACAAAATTTATAGTGTTTCACTCATCACATTCCAAAATCATAAGTCCTGATAAAATACTGATTGAATCAACAAACGAAGATGCAGTGAAAATAGCCGGATCTTACCTAATTGAAAGAGCACAAACAATTAAATACCTAGGACTCATTATGGATCCGCATTTAAAATGGGAAGCGCATATTAAGAACATTGAAACAAAAATTTCCTGTGCAGCAGGAATTCTCTGGAAGTTAAAATCTCAACTCCCAAAATCAACGAAAAAGACCATCTATACAGCACTAATAGAATCCCACCTGAATTACTTGACTCCTATTTGGGGCAGTGCAAGCGATTCAACATTGAAGGCACTTCAAGTCATTCAAAATCGCGCTTTGAGGAATGTATATTGCCTGGATAGACTGGATAATAGAGTGCAAATGTATCAGCAGCAAGTCGATCGGTTCTTACCAATAAGAGCTATATTTTATGTCAACACAGCATCCTTTATATTTAATTGTCTTAAAGGAAATTATCACAACAATTTTCATTTCTCATTTTCCATTCCCAGAAGTCCGAGAGCCAGAAGATTTTTAAATCCTCAACGATCATTGTCACAATATGGATCTAGACGAATCTCCTCTATGGGTCCAAAAATCTTCAATGATCTTCCAGAAAACATCCAAAATTGCCAGCATATTCATTCATTCAAACGAGCTACGAGAGATTTTATTAGAAACGAGACTTTCATTGGTTCCTGCTTTAACGGTCAATTTCTTTCAAAGTTCCTGTAAGGTCATCTGAAAATCCAGTGTTGCCTTTTAATAACGAATTCAGCCTCGATATATATGATACTTATCTAAACTCTTTGATCACGATATGCCAGTTCCACTTTCTATTTCTTGTCGCTTAATTGTATTAATTTACCAATGTTTACACTTTTTTCATATTTTTTTTCACTTCAAACTGATGATCTTACACAATTTCAAATACTTTGTTACCGTTACTATGTTTTTAAACTTGTTTTGAACTTGTCTATTTTAAAAATGATTTAACTGTTAGCTAAATTCGCCAAAAGAGATCTTAAAGGCTTGGTTTAATTACCATTTGAAAAGGCTTTTTCCTTACTAAGGAAAGGAGCACAAAAAAACGGAAAAAATACCAATAAATTGAAAATGTCTAAATGGAAAAAAAAAAAAAAAAAAAAAAACCTTCCATTTAAAAGCAGCTCCAAAATAATTTTAATAAGCTACTTATGACATTTTATATTTTTTAAATTAATAAACAAATTTTTATTATGTTTGTAATAAAAAACGTTCTTAAACTTGTGCAATTGAAGTTAAATTTTTTCACAATTTATTCAATTTTTCGCCCACATGTTTTTAAAATTTATAATTAACTCTTTTCAAAAAAATCTGTTAAAGTTTTAATTTCACATTCTTTCATTATGGTCCGTATTAAAATTAAAGGACCTTTACTTTTCTTTCTGCTTTCAGTTATGTATAAAGGAAAAAGCACTCTGAAGAAGTACTTAAACTTTTCAAAATGCATAAAAAACCTTTCATAAAATCCCTTTTAAATCCCGAAATTATTCATCAAATGCATCAGGGATTTTACATTTCCACGTTTATTGAGTCAGGGATTTTTTAAGGATTTTTGGGGGATTTTTCAGGATTAATCCTGAGTTTCCACGCCTTGATTATTTCATATAATTCTTGAAATTTTAAATTATGAACAGAAAATATTTAAAAAAAATGTTAAAATGTTCGTTTTTCGTAAAATGAATAAAAAAGACAATTTTCTTAGATTCTAGTGCCTTTGAAATAACATAAGATTTTTTGACTTTCAAGTTGACCTAGAAGATTTTAAAAGATTATAGACACAAAATATGTCCTTTTTAATAAAAAAATTCCTTTTCGAAAGAAAAATTATAATTTTAGTTTGAATTTATATTAAAAAGATTAGACATAAAAAAGAGTAATTAAATATTAAAGACCAACAAGTTTTATATTTTTTAAGCGGTCTGGAATTGTTAATTTAAGGAGAGAATTGTAATTAGAAGAAAGACCACAGAAAACTTATACAGAAAGTCAACTTTGTTAAAATGCGCTAAAAGTATGAGTTTTATTTTGCTAGAATTTTTGTCTTTTTCACAATGTTATAACTTGTTATGTATAACAATTTAATATTTATATTTTTAAATATCGTTAATATTGAGTTACAAATAAAAAAAATGAATATCATTCCGAATGTAAAATTGTAATTAATCAAATATATTTCTGATAAGAAAAAAATAAATAAAAGAAGTGTTCCACACGACGTCATTTTATAGTGTGAATGACGTTTTTCACTCGTTAAGAAAACACTTTAAGCTAGCTCCCTAATTATGAGCGCTCTGATCGAGTGAATAAATGTATAATAATAAAAAAAAAACTGTGAATAAAGTTTTGTGACTTTTTTTTTTGATAAATTACTGATCTTCAAATTAATGTCTTTGGTAAATTAAGACAAAACATATCTCAAATAATAAAAAAAATAAAACAAAAAAACAATTTTTGGTAAGTTTCAATTTGCTGTCTAAATTTTATTAAGTTAAAGCTGATTTTGATTTTGAAATTTTTAAAAATTCAGTGGTGTTAATTGAAAATAAATCGATAGTGCCTGAAATTTTATATTGTAAATAATAACTAATAAAAAATCATGACTCTTTACCAGAAATACCAAACATGATCTCTCATATTCAAAGACGAGAAAACGGACCTATGACTCGTTGGATTATGCAGCCATTACAAGATCATCAAGGCTTACATGTAATATCATATAGAACGCACCACGATTTTATTACTGAGGAAGAAATTAATGAACTTAACAAAAAGCTGATTACTGCTTCCTCTAAATTAAGCGGTATTGTTCGTTTTTTAAGCTGGTATGAAGATAAAATGTGGCATATCCTAGTCAGAAATCGAGCATCTTTAAATTACTTGTTTGGATTTCTAGAATCAGAAGCAAATAATCTTGTTGCTATACCAAAAACTGCATATCAAGTAAAAGTATACAGCTGTGATTTTGGTGAAAGAGTCAATGATAATTTTACAGCCTTGAAAGAGCTAAATAAGAAAAATGAAGGCCTAAATGCAACAAAATTACATCTCATAGAGAATGCTGCACAGCATGCAATTGGAAATTTTGTCTATGACTTTGCAGTATTAAATGCAACTTTTGGATATATTGAAGAACACGGAAGAGAATTAAGATTCAAAAACCGAATTTTGCTATTGCAGCTATTGTAAATTATGTACAACCTATATCAACATATTTTGATAAGTGCAGCAACAAACAAAAACAAAACTTCGTTTATAAGTTGTCAATTTAATAAATCGTCATTCTCAAAAATCATTAAAAATCTTCTTTTTAAAACTTATTGTATGTAGTTATGTTTAAAACTAGGCTATTCGGAGGAGCCCGTGGCGCCTGTTATCAGGGTTTAAAATTGATTACTATTATGTAAATAACTGTAAGACGCAAATAGCCATAATATTTATAAGGTCAATCTTACCACAAAATTTCACATGGCTTCGCAGACCCCCTCAAACTCGAAGCCACCTTACTCCACACTTGACACCCAACCCTTACCTGACAACCATCTTGTCAACACTCCTTAAATTTTTGGCTTCACACATGGCTTACAAATGGCTTCACATGGCTTCCGTTTTAGAATCAGTGAGTCAGTGAATTGTGCTTGTAGATTAATGTAGATGGTGAGTGTAAATTTTATAAGAATAAATAAGATTTTTTGTTTATTTACGTTTACTTTTATTATTCAATTTAAATATTTTTATGTCATCGAGAGTTATGATGACACTTGTGGCTGATTTATGACTACGCTTACAAAATATTTTTTAGGGCGAACTAGCATCACAAATTTGAACATTTTCATCAAAACAGTTCCTTGCATCTTCCATAAATTGACTAGCAACGCTTATAATCTTAAGTCCAGGCACAAATTGTCTAATTATTCTAAATCGTTCCATTACTCTTGAAGCTTTTGAAGTTAAGTGGATTTCCTCTAATCTCGTCATATGTGGGAGACATTCCTCAAGTATTACATTGATATTCCGATCTTGCGTATTAAATTTAAGCTTTTTGACATTCCTCATATTTTTGTAAAGCCCAAGAAAAATGCCAAAAGTTCCTCTCGGTGTGCTTTTATCGTTGACTTCAAATTCTGCGATATTTTCATGTAAAGTTGTTGTTGGGTTGATCCGCCTCTCAATTTCGTCACTAGCCACATCAGTGCTTGATAAGTTCAAATTAAATTTCGTGATTGCTGGAAGTAAAAATGTGATTTTAAAGGAACATAAAATTAAAGTTGAATTAATGACTTACATGGAAATTGTAGAAACATTTCAATGGCGCTGGTTATTTGAATCTCAGATGCTGCAAACTCCTTAACTTCCTGCTTTTGTCCATTTAGAATTAAAGGAATTTTTCCATAATAAAATTTGTCTAATTTCATTTCCTCAATTATGTATTTTAAGACTCGTCCACCATCAAAGTCAAATGGAAGTTCGTGAATTGTTAAATCTTTCAAGAATCCTTTTTGTGACTCCAAAAAACGAATCCTTTGAGTTCTAATTCCAACATACCAATGGAATGTGATCATTGTTGTCTCTAATTTGCTAATTTTGTATGGAAATTCATCAGAATCAAAATAACTTCCAGTTCCAGCACCTTCTAGGACCATGTGAGAAAGATTTGTTGAATTTTTACAGATTTGATTGAATATGTCATGCGGAAATCCATTCCAGGTCCAGTCATTATTTTGAACTGTAATTTTCTCAATTGAATCTTGATTTATAAAAATTTTAAAAATATTGTCATCGCATTTGTTGAATGAGATTGTTTTGAGTGCCTTAATGGGATTCACAGCTTCGCCATTCAATTTTTCAATTTGACAATTATTTAAAGTTAAACTTTTTAAATTCTTTAAAGAGTTAAATATCTCAAAACATGATAAAAAGTTTTTAAATTTAAAAAATCCGATTTCAAGGATCTCAACTGAGTCAGCAAATGATTTAATAAACTTTAGATATTCATTTAGTTTTATAGTTTTGTCCAATATTATTGAAATATTTTTAAACGGAATTTCATAAAAAACCTTTATGTTGAATAATTTCCAAAAATTCACACTATTGATCATTAATTTGAAATTTATAGACGAAGCAATGTAATTTTTAAATATATCGAATAACCTGAAAGAAGAATAAAATTGAGAAATAGTTTAAAAATTAAGAATCATGATAAATTACCTCTTCGATACCAAAGCTAATTTTAGCTTGGATTCTTCATCAGTATTTTTAAATATTTGTATAATAAGTTCGGGGCATAGCTTATCCATAACTGCATTTGAGAGCTCTGAAATGAATTTATGAATTTTTTAAGTTTAAGATATTAAAATTGCATCGGCGAAGTTTAAAATTCAAAAAAAGCTCAACAAGAATTTATTAATTAAAAATTAATGTCCATCATAAAGTTTAAACGGTCGAAAATAATTCAAAAAGAAATTAAAGTTCAAGGTCGTTTTCTGTTAATAATCAGTGATCAAAGATGGCGCTACTTTACTAAACATGCTTGAATGACTTTTAAAAATTCTGAGAAAATTGTGGAAATTTCTGGAAATTGTGTCGTCACTTTTTACTCCCGGATCTTAATGGAAGTGATATTAATCATAAATTATTAGGGTAAAAAATCTGTTATTGCAAAATATTTGGAAATTGTTTTTTTTTTAATAAAATGCTTTTAGTTTAATTGAAATAATAATTTCACAAAACAAAAAAATGATTTTTTTTTTTAAAAAAAAAATTTATTTGCAGATTTTTGGAAAATTCACAAATAAAATTTTTGAAAATTACTCAAGCAGTTTTCGTAAATTTTCATGTTGTTTTTAATTCTTAACAATTTAAAGAATTTTTGGACGAGTTTTAAAAATCCCCAAAATTACCCACTGGCTTAAAAATTGCACTACATACCTTATCTGATTAATTTTAAAATTTAAAATAATAATTTTCACAATTTCACAATAAAATATCACTAAAAGATCCAAGCAACGTGTACGCACGTTAAAATTCAAAAAAGAATCAAACTGTTGATGATTTCGCGCTTTACTTTTGTACACAATTTTTGTTTTGTTTACTTCTTGATCGAAATCATGACTCATTTTTTAAGAATAATATGAAAATCAAAAAAGTATTTCGTCAAATGATTATTTTTTTTAATAAAACTTAAAATGTTTTTAGACAGATTTAAACCAAATTTTATTTTTGTGAGGTGTCCTGTGGAGTTCAAACAATATTTATTTAAAAAAATGAATCTTAATTATAAAAAAAAATTAAAGTTTGTTTTTTGAAAAATTAATAAATTTATTTTTTCGAAAAAAATAACAAATTTTTTAAAATTATTGAAACTTTTACAAAATATTACAATTTCAAAAAACAATGAAATAATTTAAACACTTAAAAGATTAATTTAAAATCTTAAAATAGGTTTTTGCAATAAACTTGAATTATTCTCATTATTATTATTTGTTTATTCTCTTCTTCTTTACTTTGCAAAGGAAAAGCCATTCTAAACAGTTTTAACATTAACTGTTAAGATCGGCATAAAAACCTTTGACCTTAATTCTAGATTAACAATATAGATAAAAAAAAATGTGAGATCTGCGTTCAAGGGACATTAAAGATCTCAAAATTATTAAATGTTATTGTTTCTCAGTGTTTAAAGTTACAAGTGGTGAGTATGTTGAGTAAAAAGTTTTGCAATAATAAGCCAAGCGAATTTTCACATTGGAATAAAATATTTCTAAAATTACATAATTTCTTATAAAAAAGAGATATAAAATTTCTGGACCATCGAATTGGACATTTAGAAGCTTTATATAACAATTAAAAATGCAAAGCAAAACAGGATTAAAGGTGAATTGTTTCAATAAGGAAAATAAAAAGCAAGTAGTTATATTAAGTTTGAAAATTTTTTTGTTTTAGGTCGCTAGAAGTTTCTTCAAGACCAAAGGACGTGATTCTTTTTATCCATAGTTTGTTCTCGAAAGCGATTTAATTAGCTCACCAGCTTTCCTCGTTCTACTGTTGGATGATTCTTTCAAACTTTATATTAGAATGGATCTTGCGGTTTAGATTATTGTGTATGAAGGTAGATGAGGTAGCTGAATTGAACCACATCCCATTCAAGCTATTTTAGTTTAACTAATGTAATCAAATTCCATTTAATTCAACATTGTGAAATATGGACTGTGCTTCTGATAAAAAACTTTTGTTTATGCTAAGCTTCTTTAGATTTGGTGCACATTTGCGAATTGATTTTAATCTATCATCTATTCTTGGTGCTGTTGATGTTAAATACATTTCCTTCAAAAATTCCATTTTTGGAAGACAGCTTAAAATTGTATTAATATTCCTGTCCATTGTTTTAAGCTTAAGGCTTTCAAGATTTGTCAGATTTCTAAACAAACCCAAGAACACGCCAAAGACACCTCGACAATCACTATTGTCTTCAACTTCAAACTCTTTAACATCCTTAAATAAATCAGTTTGTGGATTTATGATTTTCTCAATTTCATCACTTGCTATGTCAGTCTTTGAAAGCTTTAGTTTAAATTTATAACATACAAATTGTTTCACCATCTCAAATGCACTGGTTATTTGAATTTCAGATGCTGTAAACTCCTTAATGATTTGCTTTACTCTTTTAATTATCAACGGGATGTCTCCATAATAAAAATTATCCAAATTCATCTCCTCAATTATGTATTTTAAGACACGTCCACCATCAAAGTCAAATGGAAGTTCGTGGATTGTTAAATCTTTCAAGAATCTTTTTTGTGACTCCAAAAAACGAATCCTTTGAGTTCTAATTCCAACATACCAATGGAATGTGATCATTGTTGTCTCTAATTTGCTAATTTTGTATGGAAATTCATCACCATCAAAGTAACTTCCAGTTCCAGCACCTTCCAGGACCATGTGAGAAAGATTCGTTGAATTTTTACAGATTTCATTGAATATGTCATGTGGGAATCCATTCCAGGTCCAGTCATTATTTTGAACTGTAATTTTCTCAATTGAATCTTGATTTATAAAAATTTTAAAAATATTGTCATCGCACTTGTTGAATGACAGTGACTTTAAATTCCTGATTGCTGGTAAAGTCTGATTATTAAAAGAACCCATGTGACAGTCATTGAGCTTCAATGACGTCAAGTTCTTTAATTTATTAAGGATGTTGGCACACTCATTGAAATTGTTGAATTTAAAATGATTTAATTCCAAAGTTTCAAGGGTGTTCTGGTATCTGATAACGAATCTTACTACATCTTCAAAATCCATAGCGATGTCATAGCTTATTGAAATGTTCTTTATAGGAACAATGAAGTTTTGATCATCAAAAAAGTCTCTAAAATTTGTTTTTCTAATTTGTAGATTAAAATTCCTCAAACGCATCGGAGAATTTGACAAAATATTTCGAGCACTAAAATTAAAAATTACATTAAAATTAAAAATTTATAAATTTATTTAATTAAAAAGTTTAAACTTACTTTTCTGACACTAGAATTAGATTTGATGTAGAAAATTCGTCTAATTTATCAATAACTGGCATAAAATCATCTTCATTTAAATTTTCCATTTTAAAATAATATCTGAAATTAAAGTAAAGAATAAAACAAGATAAATTAATCTGCTCATTTAGAAAAACTAGTAAAAATGTTTCATAGCTCGTAAACAAGTGACCAGTTCTAAAATTCTCGCTTCGGACTGGTTCTCATAATGAAAACTTCCCAAATTTAAAGTCAATTGGAACGTTCCTGTAAGAGTTATGCTGAGCACAGATGGAATTATGGAATTGCTGACATTTTAGACTTTCTAATCGTAGGAAAATGCGCTTTAATTGGTGGCTAGGTGAATACGTTAAGTGAATACGGTAGCTAGGAATGTGACGAGGGCTCAACCTACGCGCCTTAATGTAGATGCTTTAAAACTGCGTACTTTTGGGCGCGAAAGTCTCACTTTTTTGGGAAATTGCTCGCTTAAAAATCTTAATGTCCCGCTTTTTTGAACTTATTTTTCTTAATAATGCTTGAAACTTTAAACGATCCCGCTTTTTCAGAGCTGCAATTGGGTTGCAATCTTGACATCTCGCGCTTTTTGAACAAAAGGGCAAAAACCGTTGAACAGCCTAGCTTTAATTACTTTCATCGATTGTTAAATAATTTTACAAAATTCTCGATTTTTATAACCTACAAAATTTCATATAACCAATCTTCTGTGACTAAGTTTGGAGAGTTAAACCCCACCGTCTCAAAAATTTACAAATTTATTTAATTTCTGATAGAAAAATATCACAAATTTCCCCAGTCTTAATCCAGCGTTGCTAAAACCTTTTTTTTATGATTTAATTCTTAAAAAAATCTCAAACCGAACTTGTCTTAGGTAAGAGGGTTCGGGGGTCAAAATCCCTCGCCTTGGAAAGTTTATAATGAAAAGAAGATCATAAGAAGTACAGGAACATACGCATTGGTGTCCCCTTTTTTTACTAGTCGCAAAGTATTGCCCGATTCACTTCTTTGAATTTGTTTCGATCGTTAATATTTTGAAAGAATTTTTTGACAAAATGTGAATTTGAGATTTAAAATTTAAAACAGTTGACTAATCAATTAACATTCTTAATGCTAAACTAGCTGCTTACTAGCTGATCTGTATTAATTGTTTCAACAGCTTTAGTCAAAAGAAAATAAAAAACTAGTTTTCAACAAGTTCCTCTATCCTACTTATTGTTATTTGTTTTGATCACAAAACAATCTACATGTTCATATATTTAACTGACAATAAAGACTTAACTAGAGGATAACAGGTTATCTAAACAACTAGGAACGATGATTCTAAGAGTCTTGAAGAGAAATTTCTCATCCAGAAGTCCATTAAGTAAGTTAAACAATATAAAAAACAAAAATTCATAATTAAGAACATTCAAAACAAGTTTTAGGCATAGAATCGTCTTGTGATGACACAGGAGCAGCAGTTTTAAGAGGAAGAACACTAATTTCAGAATGTCTAGCTTCACAGATGAGAAGTCATCTCAGTTTTGGTGGGATAATACCACCTGTAGCACAAGACTTTCATAGAAGTAACATCGATGATGTTGTGACAAAATGTCTCGAAAATGCCAAAATTGAACCAAAGGAACTGGATGCTATTGCATTCACAAATAGACCTGGATTAGCTTTAAGTCTGTTAGTTGGAATAAGATATGCTAGACATATGTCAAGAAAGTATAACAAGCCACTTATTCCAATTCATCACATGCACGCGCATGCTTTGACACCAAGAATGGAAAATGAGGATATAAAGTTCCCATTTATGTGCCTACTTATTTCTGGTGGACATTGTTTGCTGTCTTATGTTAAGGATATTGATAATTTCTTGTTATTAGGCGAAAGTATTGACGATGCACCGGGTGAGTGCCTTGATAAAATTGCAAGACGACTAAAATTAACAAATCTGAGGCAATTCAGCAATAAGAATGGAGGACAATCTATAGAAGAAGCTGCAAAGATGTGTACGGAACCGACAGATAAATATCATTTTCCATTAATGCTGAAATACTATCGAGACTGTCAATTTAGCTTCGCTGGCTTAAAAAATACAGCATTAAGGTCAATCAGGAATGAAGAGAGGAAATTAAGTTTAGATGTTGATGAAGTACTTCCTGACTATCCAGACTTCTGTGCCAATGTATTAGGAGCATTAACACGTCATTTATGTCACAGAACACAACGAGCTATAGAATTTTGTGAAGGACAACATTGGTTCGATAATGTCCAAGACAGACGATTAATAATATCAGGCGGTGTAGCATGTAATGACTTTATATATACAGCACTAAGTCAAATGTGTGAGAGTTTAAATTTTAAAGCTATTAGACCATCAAAGAAGCTATGTATGGACAATGGAATTATGGTTGGATGGAATGGCGTTGAGAAATTTGAGAGGAACTTGGACATTTGTCCACCTAGTAAAATAGATGATTTAGACTTTTTTGCCAAAAGTGCATTAGGCGATAGTTTTATTGATAAAGTTAAGGAACAGAATATATCATGTAACTGGATTAAAATACCAATATTAAAGCCTTTTACTAGACCTTAATAAAATTAATTGTAAATATTTAAATCCAATGATTTATGTTAGAAGCGTAGATTGGAGCCAAGAGCACAGTTAGGAATTTGAGATGGGGTAATGATTTTTTTTTGTTTGGAAACATTTAGAGGGGGAGGGGGAGGGGAGGCACTCAAGAAATTGTTATATCAATTTTAATTTCACAACATTTTGAAATTGAAATTTATTTTTAACCAATTTGATAGACGTAAAATGACTGTCATTTTAAAATTTGTGACAAAAACCTTTCAATTGAGAATATTTTGAGGAGTTACAACCAAAACTAAAATCACTAAATCCTTTAAAAAAAATTGCGAAAAGTTCTCACCTTTATTTTATTCATTCAGTGTTAAAATCAGCGTAGAATTAAAACAACACAGCTTTATAGCACAAAAAGGTATCCAAAATGGTAATGTTTTGTCGCGAAATTGAAGGCTTAGGTTCAGTAAATCACTTAATTAATATTTAAGAGCTTTGCAGCCAAATAAAATTATATTTTTTAATGTGCTCTTTGTTGAGATTTGTCGTTAATACTTCGTTTAGTACTGAAAGGAAATTATTCCGATCACTGCATAAATATTGAGAAAATATAACTTTAAGCTCAAGCTATAGACATAACAAAGTCTGAATGTTATATTTGTTATGTATAAAAAAATAATCACTTAATTTGACATTGCCTATAGCAGATGGTAATACTTCAATCGTTCAGCCATCACACACACACACACACACACACACACACACTATTAGATTTAAAGGTTGCCAACTTATAAAAAAAGATCTTAACAAAATTATCAAATTATTATTTTTAAAATCAACTGGCATTCTATTAAATGTCATCAACCGTCCCAGACAACAAGTATAACAGAGAACCTGTTCTGCTAAAATCAACCAGAAATTTTTAAAAACCAAAAACTCTTTATTTTCTTACTTGTTGCAAGGTGAGCATTGCCAAAGCATTGGTGGCTTTCGTGCTTAATAAAATGTTAACAAAAAAGGTGACAATTTTTGAATTTGCTTTGGGTGCCAAACACTCAAGCTACGACCCTATAATAAGCAATGTAAGAGGGTTCCACCTAAGCGATGTGCCTCTACATGGTACGTCGAGCTGGAGGCACTGTGATCTTAATCGATGATAGATGATAGTCTTAATTACGCCTCTAATCGTGTGTAAATAAATTCAGAAATACGATAACAATTTGTGTTATATATGACAAAGAAATCTTCGTCACAAAAGTTTTTTTTACTACTCGAGAGAAAATTGTATTCTATAGTAAGAAAAATAATAAAAGGTTTTAATAATTAATTTAATTTAAAGGCTATAAAAGTGACTGAACTTCACAAATATTTTTGAAAGGAACAATTTCACTGTAAAGAGTGATTCAGACTGAACTAAAAAATTGATATTAACATTTTTCTATATAAAGCTTCATGATTTCGTATCAGCAGATGATTAATTTCATCATTTCTTGAAGACTTATCTTCATTATTCAATGTCTAGCTCTAGTTTCTTAAGAAAAACTTCCGGAAGTATCTTAATTGGTTTTAATAAGGACATTAGAATTCTAGCATAGCCTATGGTAAGGGTAACCATCTAATTTTCATGAAAATACAGGACTTTTGGTAAATTTTTTCGAAAAATACAGGACATAGAGTAAAATTCGAAAATTAACGGAAATTCTCGTGAAAAAAATACAGGACCTGGAACAAAGTTTTCAAATTTATACAGGACAGGGTTTTGAAATACAGGACTGTCCGTTGTAAAACTACGCAGATGGTCACCCTAAGCATAGGAGACTTGGGATGGTACAACAGATCATCGATCGCAGTGCCGCTTTTGCTTTAAGCAAAACCCAACATTACATTATATTCTTCTATTCTATCTTATATGTGACGGTACAATAGATTCTATCATCGATCAGGATCGCAGTGACTCTAGCTCGTCACAACGTGTAGCAACAGAACGTTTGTCTGGAACCATCTCAAATTATTCTTATTATTTTCCTAAATGTGCACGCATTTATTTCAATGAACAGTCCCGTATTTTTTCAAAATAATTTCCTAATTATTCTAAATCTACACAAATTATTCTAGGTGTAGCCAAGCCCTCAAATGACTCTTGAGCTTTACTTACTGTAACCATGTTCCTATCTGGAGCTTATGTTACAACAAAGACTCTGTTGCTGATTCTGTGGGTGTGGAGTACGGCCGAGACCCATATCTACACAGGTCAAAAGTTATACCTAATATATGTCATAATTATGTCAGTTACAAAAACACTTAGTTTGAATTTTGTCACCCTCGGGAACACCATTAACCAGTATAGCTGATTTTGGTCCAAATCTCGGCCATACTTCACACTTGTTTGAACCACATTTTCTCGTAAATGTTAAATTATTATTAAAAAGTAAACTATCCTGAATGTTGTCGTTGTTTTGTCAAGTGTTTTAAGATAAAGAAATTTTTTTTTGGTTTCCACAGTGAAGAGTATGAACAAAATTCAGATGGGATAGTCGAAATTTTAGCTTTCGACTTTTTTTTAAGCTATGCATTACAAAAAGTAATATTGGTATGTGATTTATGTCAGAAAAATGTCAATTCAAGTAAAACATCCAAAAAAATTTTTTTGACGAAGTACACCATAGAAAATCAATTTATTTTTCACTGAATTTGGATTTATCCTCGAAGAAAAAAAAACGAAAAACTAGATTTTGACTAGGCTTGTCCCTAGTTCATAATAAAAAGTGTATTTCCTACTTGGCTCTTTGGTCAAAAAATTTTTAAGATGTTTTATTTGTATTTTTTTAAGCACTAGAATATTTATGCAAAGTTTCAATCCATTTGGATAAACCCTCGAATAAAAAAGTGTTAAAATTGATTTTGACTAGGGTCGCCCCTAGTCCAAAATTGAAAATGTATTTCCTACTTGGTTCTTTAGTCAAAAAAATTTTAAGATGTTTTATTTGTACTTGTTTTAAGCACTAGAAAATTTATGCAAAGTTTCAATCCATTTGGATAAACCCTCGAAGAAAAAAGTGACAAAATTGATTTTGACTAGGGTCGCCCCAAGTCCAAAATTGAAAATGTATTTCCTACTTGGTTCTTTAGTCAAAAAAAATTTAAGATGTTTTATTTGTACTTGTTTTAAGCACTAGAAAATTTATGCAAAGTTTCAATCCATTTGGATAAACCCTCGAAGAAAAAAGTGACAAAATTGATTTTGACTAGGGTCGCCCTTAGTCCAAAATTGAAAATGTATTTCCTACTTGGTTCTTTGGTCAAAAAAATTTTAAGATGTTTTATTTGTATTTGTTTTAAGCACTAGAATATTTATGCAAAGTTTCAATCCATTTAAATAAACCCTCGAAAAAAAAGGGACAAAATTGATTTTGACTAGGGTCGCCCCTAGTCCAAAATTGAAAATGTATTTCCTACTTGGTTCTTTAATCAAAAAAACTTTAAGATGCTTTATTTGTATTTGTTTTTAGCACTAAAATATTCATGCAAAGTTTCAATCCATTTGGATAAACCCTCGAAAAAAAAGGGACAAAATTGATTTTGACTAGGGTCGCCCTTAGTCCAAAATTGAAAATGTATTTCCTACTTGGTTCTTTGGTCAAAAAAATTTAAGATGTTTTATTTGTATTTTTTTTAAGCATTAGAATATTTGTGCAAAGTTTCAATCCATTTGGATAAACCCTCGAAAAAAAAAGTGACAAAATTGATTTTGACTAGGGTCGCCCCTAGTCCAAAATTGAAAATGTATTTCCTCCTTGGTTCTTTGGTCAAAAAAATTTTAGAATGTTTTATTTGTATTTGTTTTAAGCACTAAAATATTTATGCAAAGTTTCAATCCATTTGGATAAACCCTCGAAAAAAAGGGACAAAATTGATTTTGACTAGGGTCGCCCCTAGTCCACAATTGAAAATGTATTTCCTACTTGGTTCTTTGGTCAAAAAAGTTTTAGGATGTTTTATTTGTATTTGTTTTAAGCACTAAAATATTTATGCAAAGTTTCAATCCTATTGGATAAACCATCGAAGAAAAAAGTGACAAAATTGATTTTGACTAGGGTCGCCCCTAGTTCAAAATTGAAAATGTATTTCCTACTTGGTTCTTTGGTCAAAAAAATTTAAGATGTCTTATTTGTATTTGTTTTAAGCACTAGAATATTTTTGCAAAGTTTCAATCCATTTGGATAAACCCTCAAAGAAAAAAGTGACAAAATTGATTTTGACTAGGGTCGCCCCTAGTCCAAAATTGAAAATGTATTTCCTACTTGGTTCTTTGGTCAAAAAAATTTAAGATGCTTTATTTGTATTTGTTTTAAGCACTAGAATATTTATGCAAAGTTTCAATCCATTTGGATAAACCCTCGAAGAAAAAAGTGACAAAATTGATTTTGACTAGGGTCGCCCTTAGTCCAAAATTGAAAATGTATTTCCTCCTTGGTTCTTTGGTCAAAAAAAATTTAGGATGTTTTATTTGTATTTGTTTTAAGCACTAGAATATTTATGCAAAGTTTCAATCCATTTGGATAAACCCTCGAAGAAAAAAGTGACAAAATTGATTTTGACTAGGGTCGCCCCAAGTCCAAAATTGAAAATGTATTTCCTCCTTGGTTCTTTGGTCAAAAAAAATTAAGATGCTTTATTTGTATTTGTTTTAAGCACTAGAATATTTATGCAAAGTTTCAATCCATTTGGATAAACCCTCGAAGAAAAAAGTGACAAAATTGATTTTGACTAGGGTCGCCCTTAGTCCAAAATTGAAAATGTATTTCCTACTTGGTTCTTTGGTCAAAAAAATTTAAGATGCTTTATTTGTATTTGTTTTAAGCACTAGAATATTTATGCAAAGTTTCAATCCATTTGGATAAACCCTCGAAGAAAAAAGTGACAAAATTGATTTTGACTAGGGTCGCCCCAAGTCCAAAATTGAAAATGTATTTCCTCCTTGGTTCTTTGGTCAAAAAAAATTTAGGATGTTTTATTTGTATTTGTTTTAAGCGCTAGACTATTTATGCAAAGTTTCAATCCATTTGGATAAACCCTCGAAAAAAAAAGTGACAAAATTGATTTTGACTAGGGTCGCCCCTAGTCCACAATTGAAAATGTATTTCCTACTTGGTTCTTTGGTCAAAAAAATTTAAGATGCTTTATTTGTATTTGTTTTAAGCACTAGAATATTTATGCAAAGTTTCAATCCTATTGGATAAACCCTCGAAGAAAAAAGTGACAAAATTGATTTTGACTAGGGTCGCCCCTAGTCCAAAATTGAAAATGTATTTCCTACTTGGTTCTTTGGTCAAAAATATTTAAGATGTTTTATTTGTATTTGTTTTAAGCACTAGAATATTTATGCAAAGTTTTAATCCATTTGGATAAACCCTCGAAGAAAAAAGTGACAAAATTGATTTTGACTAGGGTCGCCCCTAGTCCAAAATTGAAAATGTATTTCCTACTTGGTTCTTTGGTCAAAAAAGTTTTAAGATGTTTTATTTGTATTTGTTTTAAGCACTAAAATATTTATGCAAAGTTTCAATCCATTTAGATAAACCCTCGAAGAAAAAAGTGACAAAATTGATTTTGACTAGGGTCGCCCCTAGTCCAAAATTGAAAATGTATTTCCTACTTGGTTCTTTGGTCAAAAAAATTTAAGATGTTTTATTTGTATTTGTTTTAAGCACTAAAATATTTATGCAAAGTTTCAATCCATTTAGATAAACCCTCGAAGAAAAAAGTGTTAAAATTGATTTTGACTAGGGTCGCCCCTAGTCCAAAATTGAAAATTGATTTTCTATGGTGTACTTTTGTCAAAAATTTTTTTGGATGTTTTACTTGAATTGACTTTCTTGTGACATAAATCACATACCAATATTACTTTTTGTAATGCATAGCTTCACACCCACGCTGACTCTGACTTTGTTGCTTTCCATCTGACTCTGTTGCTGGCTCTGTCATCTAGTTTGTACAACTTCCCTGTCTGCACATTAATCTGACATTCTTTCATCACTGTTCTGCTCCAGATAGCTTGACTCTTGAGCATTGCTTATTAAATCAGAAGATTTTTTTGAGCCAATATCAGAGCATTTTATGTCCAATCGCCATTCTATAGGTTTAGGTTTTGAGCATTACAACTTTTTTGGATATTCTTTCAAGACACACAGTTTGAGAACCACTGCACTCGAAAAGATTTTTATAATTAGCAATAAATCAAAAATTGTGAACCAAAAATATCAATCATTTATTAAGTAAAAAATTTGCATGAATTAGTTATTAATTCTTTTTGCAACACGGTTTAAAAATAAATTAAATATTGTGAGCTTCAAGAGCTGCTACGTCAATTTCAAATGGATTGATTTCGACCTTAATTTCATATTTTAAACCGTTGATGTTAAGCTGACTTCCTCGTTCTCTAATTTGATAATAACTCAATGCATCTACTAGAATGATGAAAGATCCAGGAGGTGAGTTGTCATCTTTTTTCCATAATGAGGAGCTGATGGGATTGTTATAGCAAGGCACAGCAGTCAAAAAGTCATTCCAATCCTTATCAATGTAAAGTTTTATTATGACTCGTGGATTGCTTGACAATGTCAATAAAGCTAGTTGAACCTCATCATTCAACTGATATGCAAGTTTGTCCATCTTTGCTCTTAATTGATTTGGATAGTCATCTCGACCAGCACCAAACTCAAACACAAATTTTCCTTCTTCAACATTAAATACAGTCAAATAGTTTTCAAATTCATCGTTAGCAATCAAGTTGTTAAGCTCATTATAATTTTTATCATTAATAATATTTTTGGCATGTCCACATGCGTGTACGTATAATTTTCTGACGTCATAAATATTAGCACCTGCAAATGCTATACAAAATTTTATAAAAATAATTATTATTAATCCAATTTTAACTATTAAAGTTTAAAACTTACATGATCGAATTGGAAAATCTCGATCCTGGATTGTAATTTCAGGATATTTGGATGGTGTGGCTTGTGGTGAAGCTGTAATTAGGTAATAAATATTTTATTGATCTAACAGTTGTAGATCTCCCTATAAATGCCATATGTATACTCTTATGAAAAACAAGTCAGGTTCGATGGTAATCGAACCCACGACCTCAAAAACAGGCGATCTCTGACCACTCGATCAGAGATCCCTGCCACTCGGCAACCGAGATTATCCCTCTTCGGCTATCCGTCATACATATATAACCAGTTCAACGCGAGACCTATGCTCAGGCCTATCTTCTACAGATATGCTCTTCGATCCATATCCACAACAGTCAGTCAACTTAATTAAGAAGCTTAATTATGATGATTAAAAAATTATTTTATTTAAATTTTTATAATTTTCGATCAGAGTTTGGTTTTAGCTTTGTTTGGTTTAAACCTAAAACTACCCTTCACTTGCTTAATACTAGGCTGTCCAACTGTGTCCTTTTGAGTGGGAGAGTCCCACTTTTTTGAACAATGTTCTGCTTAAAATCCTTAAAGTCCCAGTTTTTTGAGCCTATTTAAATTGAAAAATGCTTGGAATTTGGAATGTCCTGGTTTTTTTAAAAGCTAAAATCTAGACATTTCCGCTATTTTAACCAAAGCTCGGCAAAAAACCGATGGATAGCCAACCCAACACCATCATCAAACCTGCTCTTAGCTTAATAGTCTTAAGTTAATCTTGTAAAGTAGATAGAGATGCAGGAGTGCATGTGAATCAAATATAAATACAAAACTTACAACTAATCTACTTACATCCTGCTCCACTTTCTTCGTCCTTATTACCATCCCCATCGCCTGTCTCATCTCCACTTTCTCTGTTTCGTTCTCCTTCATTTGGTCTTTGAATTTGAGAGCCGCCTGGTGCATTGGCATCGTCTAGCACAGAGACTTGAATGTTTCCTCCAAAACTGATGTATGCATCGTTAGCACAGCTCTTTACAACCTTTATAATTTCAAGATGTGGAGCAAAGATTTTGATTGTCTCATATCTATCTAATGCATTTGGTGCTGTTGATGAGAGCTGAATTTCTTTTAAATCAGGCATGATTGGAAAACCTTTGAGGATTGTATTGATGCATCTATCATTTGTAATTAATGTGAGCATTTTAAGGTTGACTAGATGCTTAAAAAGTCCTCTAAACACACCAAATGATCCACGACTAGTGTCAATTACTGTAAACTCCTCAATATTATTGGTTGTCATTGGAAGTGAATTAATGGCTTCTTCTATGTCTTCACTAGAGATGTCTGTTGCTGAAATGTAGAGAGTTATCTTTCTAATTGATGAGAACTGTCTTATCATTTCTATGGCACTGGTTATTTGTGTCTCAGATGCAGAGAATTCTTTAACATCCTGCTTTTGTCCATTGAGAATTAATGGGATGTCTCCATAGTAAAAAGTCTCCAACTTCATATCCTCAATTATGTATTTCAGGACCTCTCCGCCATCAAAATCGTATGGAAGCTGTTGAATCTTCAGGTGCTTCAATGTTCCAATTAGTGACTTCAAGTATTCGGTTCGAGCACCTTCAATTCCAACAAACCAGCCAGAAGTAATCATTGTTATTTCTAGACAACCATTAACCGGATTTAAGTTATCATCAGAAATTTTACATTTAGCAAGCATTCTGGAAGTTGAACTAGTTGAAGGTGCTTTATCATCCTCACTAAGTCTCTTTCTCTTTGGAGGTGATGGCTTTACAAGATTTTTTTCTTGAACACTACAAAAGTTAAACGATTAAAGCTTATTTTCAATAGCTTTTAATTAATATGGATAACTTACGTTGATTCAACAGCTAAACAAGATCGCGAACCTCCAATTTCTTTTTCTAAGTTTTTCTTATCCTGTTCGCTTTCTTCATCACTTTGTTCTTCTGAAGATTTTTTAATCTTCTTTTTGTCCATTTTCTGAAATTGTGAAATAGGTAATATAATAAAAAAAATTTTTATTTGTATTTATTATTTTTGTATATTATAATGATATCTTAATAGGACCAGAACTATTCTAGTCTTTTACAATAACACCTTACCTAATCTACAAGTAAATATTGCACAAACAAAAATTTTTCTAAAAAAGATTTTTTATTTGTTTTTTTTTGCCGCTTATGTGTTTAGAACATCTGTGAGTCACTCACTTAAAATTCAAATAAAAATAACGGTTAAATCATTTTTAAATTTAAAAAGCAACAAGGCAGGAAATCGAATCAAAAGAATTCATACTAGAATGTGAAGTTGGTGAAGCATAAACTTCACTGATCACTAATCAACTCCGGAAAGCATTAATACCAATCAGACACTGATTAATTAAGATTGAGACTATCCTTAGCAATAGAGTCAGCTCCAGGCGCCATCTAAGGAAGGCCATGGATCACAATTGATCTGTACGGCCAGCAAAGATAAGTAAGTAAGACTATCCTTGTCGTTAATGTGCTTTAAGCACATTGGGGTGTTGTTTATGATGATGATGTCCTTTTAATCTACACTGAAGTGTATGGTGATGTGTACGTAAATCTTAAATCAATCTAAACCTGCTTCACATCTCTCAATTTCACATCAATACATAATAATCATATTTTCCATGCTTAAGTTTGTGAGAAAATCTGAGAAAAACGGGAAGCCAGCCATCCACCTAGACAGTCAAAGTGAACCTATATTTCCTAAGGAAAATGCTCTCTAATGTTTGCTTTCGAAAGGGAGAATAAATTTTGATTATTTTCTTCTACTAAGCTTGAAGGCGACTCAAGTTGAAAAGAATATTCTTAGTTAAGATATTGAACCATTTTTTATTAACCAACGTAAAATTAACAATTTTTTTTTTCAATAACTTATCATTGTTTTAACGCAGTGTTGTTCAAACTGTTTGCCGTGGCACACAAAAAAAGGTAGTTTTTCAGAAATTTCTAGATTTTACAATAATTATTTTGTGCTGTTAAAAAAAATATCTAAAGTCAAAGTGTTCCGTAGCTGAAAAAAGTTTGAACAACACTGGTTTAGGAGCAGGGGCGTAGCCAGGAATTTGAAGAGGGGGAAACAAACTTTTTCATGAAAACTCTAGCAAAATGAAAAAATTTCTCAAGGGGCTGTTCACTTATTACGTAACGCGAAAAAATAACTTTTTAGACCCCCCCCCCTCGTAACAAAATTTGTATGAAAAAAAAATTTCCTTGTTTGAACCGTAACAAAATCTTAGACCCCCCTCCCCCCCTAAAAGCGTTACGTAATAAGTGAATGGCCCCCAAGGCGAAGGGGGATTTGTTCCCCAATCCCCCCTGGCTACGCGCCTGTTTAGGGCATAAAAATGTAAAATCATATTTTACACTCAAAAAGCTCTTATTTTACTTCTTGAGTGCCAAGTGAAGGCACTAGACAAACATATAAAAAAATACATCATTTCTTAGTCATCGTTGATCCAACTTAAGATCCAAAGCCAATAAACTCTTGTTTGACAAATTCAATCGTATCCTTATAAAAAGGATTAAATTCATCTTGAACATCGACTAGACTTCCATTGATGTTCAATTTACGATTGTTTGCTAACAAAGCAACGTAACTTAGTGGATCTGTGGAAAATTCCAATTTCCAAGCATTTTTAGATATCCACGAAATGTTATTGTAAGTCCATTTTGATGCATTTGTGCCAAATTGAGTTCGGATTGACTTCAAAAATATGTAATCATTGATTTTTTCCGAGACGATACATGACAAATCAACACAAGCAATTGGCTGTTCTTTGGGAAGGGAAATCAGTGAAATTTCTGAATTGCTACATGCTGGAACAAAGGCAAGTTCTTGCAGAATATAATTGACTGATTCAGCTGTCATTCCAAAAGCTAGTTTTATCTTAACTCGTCCACTTTCGACAGAGCTGTAGTGCGTAAGGAAATTTGGATCAACTTTGAAAAATTTCAATATTTCGTTCATATTTTGTTGGTTAAAATATAATATTGGATATCCGTAAGGCACAATAGTCAACACATCCTGTGAAAAAATGTGATTGATGACACCAAAATCTAAAACAATTGATACAGTTTCAAATTAGTAAGTTTAAAAAAATCAAGGCGTGGAAAGTCAGGATTAATCTTTAAAATCCTTGAAATCCCTTTTTAAATTTCTGGTGCACTTGATGAATAATTTCGGGATTTCAGAGCAATTTCACATTTTCATGTTTATTGGCTCGGGGATTTTTTGAAGAATTTTTGGGATTTTTCAGGATCAGGATTAATCTTGAGTTTCCACACGTTGAAAAAAACTGAATTTAACTCAAAAGACTTACACGGAACTTGATTAATTTGTTTTGTTCTTTTAACAACAGTTCCAGCAGCATTTGATGATGCAACTGTAAAGACAATATTTTAATTGAATTGTAAAAATATAAATTTAACTAAATTCTTACTTAATTTCAAAAGTTTAGAATAACATTCATCATATGATTGTTTTGATTGAATTGTGTCTTTAGTGATCCATGGTGATAATCCTGAGCACACATTTCCTTAAAAAAAATTGGTTAAGTTTAAAATTTTTAAATTAAAAACTTCAGATTTAAATATTTCGACGGCCATTTTGATTCAAAAAAATATAACAAATATCTAAAAATCGAAGCGTTCATCAAAATGAGCAAAATATCAAAAAATAAGTAATAAATAATAATAAATCTTACCTATTGAAATTAATGTAAAATCAATATCATTTTTATAAATATCAACATCCAGTTCAGTGAAAATGTTCTGTTCATTTATTAATAATTGACGGTTGTATTTTGACAAAATACACATTCTGATTTTATTTTGTAGCTGGTTGGATTATTGAAAGCTGATATTAAATTGCGTAATTTGCGTAATTTGAATTTCGTAATATTGAATAAGAATTTTCAAAAAAGTTTTTAATTATTTAACTTATAAAACACTCATTTGTAGCACGAAATTTAGGTCTTAATAATCTTAACACGTGATCAATCTGTAACGGAAACTTTTGAATTTGATTCCGGTTTGTGTCTCGACTAAATTTCCACTTGGCTACATTAATTAATGGATGAACTTGCAACACTGTACTATTTAGAGATATCTCAAATGACTCTGCTAACGAATTGATGAAATCAAGCGATGCTATCTCTAAAGGATCATCCAATTTGACTTTGAACTTGAAAGATGGGATGATTCGATGACTCACTGGATCTAATCTTGTAAATGGAGTGAAAGCCAGTCGTAGTACAGGATTAAAATGCTTGTTTCGACCCAAATCAAGACTCCATGCGTTACTGCATGGGTGATAAAACTTGATTAATGATTGTTGTGGCTCAATGATGGACATTCAATGTTCAACAATGATTTAACCAATAAATAACATTTAAATAAATAATTTTTTTACTTAATTTATATTTTTAAGTGGGTTTTAATATTTTTTAACGCCATAGAATTTTAATTAAACGCCATAGATATATTTAAAGGCTCTAAGGGATGATAATTTTACACCTTAGGTGATAAAACCTTTAAATATATATTTTTGTCAATATCGCTGTAATTAAATAAAGATTTAGCTCAATTTGAATTGTTTAATACGCCTGAATGTGTTGTAATTGTTTAATTATATATTTCGCAGTTTTATTCGCCTTATTAATACTTTAATTCACATTATTTAAAATAACACGATGTTAATTTGATTTGAAGATAAAAAAAAGCTCTCGAGATATTATTCAAATCTCAATCTTCCGTTACATTACCGCACTTAGAGTGACAATCATATTTTAATGAATTATGTTGATTCACAAAAATATGATTGTTTACTTTTTCATGTGAGAAAAAGTTTAGAAGATTCCTAAATGTATCCTTCATTTCAATTAGTCTCAGTAATAATGTATATTGTTGTTTTGAAATTTGGTCCTTATTGATGCGCACTATTAAACTCTCAAGTTCATTTACGTTACCTTTAATGCTCTTAACATGATTTTGTATGCATTGAATGCAGATGCACTTTGATTTGTGATTATTATTATTTTTAATTGTTATCTTTATATTATCAGCTTCATCCAAATTAAGCTTATCAAAAGCTTTCCTTATGATTGGATAATTGTTGTTAATTTCCACTTGCCTGGATTTTCTAATGGCATTAATCATGCTAAGGTTATCGTTAAATTTACAGAATGACATCATACCGCTGGAATTCTTCATTGGAAGTGTTGTTAATTTCACAATTTCTCCGAATTGTGCCAATTTAGCTCTAATTTCACATCTTTGTGTTTTTTGTTTGATGTTGATGACAACAATTGAGTGTTTGTTGAATATTTGTTCCATTTTGATGCTTTAATTAATATTATGTGTGAAATTACGTGTTATATGTTTGACTGATTTTGATGAAAAGAAAGTCGTAGGTTCAACCCCTCTTCTCGAATGTAAACAAACATCAGTTTCGAAAATTTTCGAAAATGTCGGAAATGATATTTTGCAAACTGTAATTAATTAATTTTACTTCTGAGACATCATATGTGGCTATATTGTTGTTGATAAGCCTTACTTTTACTGCATTGGAATAGGGAAATTCAATTACTTGTGCTGGTAAATATTTAACATCCAATTTTGCATTATAACTTATTGATGCTTTTGATAAACTATGCTTTTCAATCATTACAATATCATTAATTGTAATATGTTGTTGATGTTTGTTGTTATTATATTGTTTAACATTGTAATGAAATTTAATTAATGATTTTTCATAGGCTTTGTTCATAATATCAAAATGATGCTGATTAAGCTGTCGGTCCGTTAAATTATTTTCATCATAAGCGTCAATTCCAAAAAATACCTTATATGGTGACATTCCAGTTGCTTCATTTCGTCGTTTATTTAGTTTGTTGATGATATCTGGCAGAAACTTAATCCATTTCTTTTGATTTGTTGGACAGTCCATTAATGACAATGAAAGTGCTTCAGATAATGATCTATTTAGTCGTTCTACTGGATTGTTTTTTGCTGTATATACTGGAATATTGTGTGATTTGACTTTGTAAGTATTTAAGAACTCCTTAAATTTGTGAGATGTAAATTGTGAGGCATTATCATGTATGATTTGCTTAGGTGGATCAAATTTTTCAAATATTGTTTCCAAAAATTCAGTTATTTTTTCTGTTGTGACTGCAT